GACCGGCCACGTCTCAGCGAATCGCGTGACGCGAAATATTAGATATTTCTTTGTGCTTTACACGTCGACCGTTGTATCTTTGTTCCGCGAACTCTTCCTTTTCTCTAACGAGCGGAAAGTATCTCGTGGAAAGGCTAAAAATACTTTGTATGTTAAATTTTACGCATTAGTTTAAATCGTACACCGATTACTGATATTGTTGAGAAGAATCATTTGCTCTACGCAATTTCTGATATTTTCACAAATTTCTTTCTATTTTGAATATCTTTTGCCGTTCGTCGATGGTTTTCGGGACTCCGCGTATTTTTTATTTTGACATGGGTATTTAGCTCGACGTATTTACCCTCGAGAGACAAAGTAATGGGTCTGCAATTAGGCGCGAACGATTAAAACGGGGCCTTAATTGGCCGTAGTGAAGGCTCCTAAGAGAGATTTGCACTCTTCAACCCCCTTCGCGCGCCAATCTCCTCTCCTTCTTGCCGCTCTCTTTCTCTTCCTATCTGCCCTTCTCGCTTCCTCCTCGCCAGTCTCGCGAGCGGTTAATGCTAGGCGATAAATCATGTTAACTCACGTAAGTAGTAACTAGTAACCGATTCGCGTTTGTACGACTCTCGTGAGATATTGGCTATTACGTGGAGTTATGGCGAAGATACGCGTCCGATCTCCACCCGCTAGCTACGAAATTGCAAGCGATCCTAGATCACCCGGTCTGCTCGAAACAAATCTACCACGAGCTACGTCGCTAGAAAGGACAAGGGGATAACCACTTAATGTAATCGTGGGACAGTGTCTCCGAAATCATTTTGAAATCCTTACGAAATCCCCGTGTAATCGTTTTGTCTTAATTTTCAAGTTTCTTCACTTGTTAGACAATAGACATGGAATTTGAACATTTTCTCAGCTTGTTTTTATTTTCCCCCAAAATTTACTTCTTTTAGTGAATATCCAAATATACAGGGTGAATCTTAATGCCTGCCCCAGCCTTTTACCATGAGAAATGGATTACCGACTGCAATTTTAATTCACCGAACGGCACAAGAGGATAGCTGCTTAGATCTCAGGGATGTTGCAGGCAAGTTGAAAACTTGTTCCACTTACAGATATCACGCGGAGAAAAATAATTTGCTAGCACAGTATATCTTATGTAAACTTAAGTAAATTTTGTCTTTTATTTTATGATAAAGTTATTTTCTGTTTTATGGACAACTATGTGTTAAAAACACTAATCTTATTGAAAAATAATTGTGCGAAAATATTTAGCTAAAGAAATAAAATAATTTCTGTTCTATTAAACGTTCTGCTGTAATGGTGAATAATTTTAATAAGGTATAATCTTAATAGATTCACCCTGTATATCATAGTTTACACCTGTAAGCGCGTGTTCTTTTCAAAATAAGACTGAAGTGGTGGCTATTAGAACAACGGCGAGTTGAAACGTTAATACACCTCTGCGCGTAAATCGTGCAATCGGTGGGACAACATTTTATCTAGTTACCCCCTTGAGAAAGGAATTGCACAATACCGACGGAACTCCGATGAAAATAAAACAAAGCGTAAAGAGGCCGATTGGTTGCCGTCAATCGTACAAGAAATATCAGGCGTTTAACAATTTGCACGCAAGGAGAGTTTAAAGCTGTTTGTGCTTTTTCCTTTTTCTAATATTATTTTATACTATGTTACAACATCGCAGAACGGGCTGATAGTCTCTTTTCGCCTTCTTTTTGTGCGTCTACCTGACGGCTAGACATCCAGATTCATGCAAATATTCTCGAGCAAATACCTATAATGATCCTCAGCTCGCCAATTAAACGAATTTTTTCACTCGGTGTTTATACCAGCGATTTTTTCCTGCGTAAAATTGTTGTTGTTGCTCGACATTTTCCGTCACGCAAAGTTATATTCGCGCTGCGGGCTATGGACGCTTAAAAACCATATTTTAGAAAGAAATAAATTAGCATTTTTTCTAGGAAATATTAATATCTCACGTGGTACGTACAACGGGCAACGCGTAGCTTGGACTTTGTCTCGCTTAATTAACCTTCACTGTTTTTGCTCGCTAACTGATTTTATTACTTCGATACTCCGCTCGCTCTTGTGTATTTAACAGTACGGTGTGTAGGTGCCCGTCGTCGTCCACCTCCCACAAAATGTATCCTTAAATAGCCACGGGGATAACAACGTCGTCTAACGCAATAATTTACGACGAACTAAAGTACCGCGAAGACGCTTTTATGCGAAGCCGGGAAAGAGCGCCGGCCGATTCTCCCGAAAGGTGGAATGCCTGGGCGAAAGGGCCCCACAAATTACGCGCGTTTCGTCGCATTTTATTCGGGTCGTGTCTTTGGGCAGGCCCCCGGGTTCAATCCCGGGTCGGTGATTACGAATTTCTGGGTTCGAATGGCCCGACTAGGAACCGTGGATACAGTCTTCTGCCAGGACGTCGACGACGGCGACGACGGGCTGTGCACCGAAACGCACGAGGGCAAGGGCGAGGAAGGACGGAATCGTCTTAAGCGCCAAATTGCACGTATGCTAAGTGGCCGCGATTTAAATTATTATTATCATCTCCAGGCCACGGGAATTGCCCTTCCGAGAATGATTATACGCGGAGGTCGGGGACGCCGCGGCAAGGATCGTTTCGCTTTTCGGGGGCCCCGTGACGAGGGCAGCTTCTCTCCTATCCTCATTTGAATGCGATTTCGAGATTGCCAGCGATGCGCAATTTTTCGCAATCCCGCGATATCTCACCTTACAACAGTTTCCTGAATATATCTCGCGCCAATGTACATAGATCGATAAGACACGACAGAATAAAACGTGTACTTTAGACTTTCTAACGGATGAAATAAAGTTATTAAATAATGTTTACTTTAAATTGACTGAAAAAAGAATTCGCGTTTAAAAATTATTTAGAAGACTTTGCGCACTTTAAGTCAAACTTAATTGGAAAAATTACATATTATTGCGGCTATCTGTTATCACGCGTTTCGTATTAAATTTTCTAAATTCAATTAACGTTTTGGGGAAAAATGTGGTCAAATACATAGAAACACGCAGCATGAAAAATTCCGTTACGAGATAAGGGATGGAGTGTACGCATGAGAACCTCTGCGGAAATGATAGAGTATACAAAGCAATTCGTGCGCCGGAGCTCGATTGGAGGTGATTCTCGTAATACGTTATTAATTTGAATACCTCTTGCGTGATGAATTATTTAACGGCGCGATTAGCCTAATGCATCATCGCACGTCCTTTCTTTCCAAGTTCCCCCTTCTTGCTCATAGGCGAAATCACTTGTTCGTGATCATGGACAGTAAATTTCTCTGTCCAACCGTAACTAAAAGCTCACATTTATAATCACCGTCGAACAATGCGACCAATTTTGAAATGATTGAATCGATCAGCCTTCCAGAGTCGGTTTGATATTCGCGACATATATTTTTTAATTACCTACGATTTCAGCAAGGAACTCAGGTGATAGAGTCCCCTATTACGAGATAGCGGGGTTTCTACTGAATAGACATCGTCTGTTGGTTCCACCATGAATTTACTGCTCTTGGAGTGAAATCTGTTTAGTGGAAAATTCATCGTTGCATTATGTAATCGCCGCGTAAAAAGATGGTGATTGAATTTGGGCGGTCCTGCTATCTCATATTAGAAGCCTGTCTCATAATAAGCTGCCCCAAGACTGAAATTCGTTTCCTCTCCGGCTAAAGAGCATTACGGCGAAGAGTTAGCCGGAATCCCAAAAATTCGAATTGGAGCCCCCTTTGCCAAATATCATCGAGCAAACCGCAATAGGAACGTAGAATTAGCGAGGTAACGTCGCACCTCGGGGGGCATTCCTGAAGACTGCGCGAAGCAACAGCGCGCGGCGCCCCGATTTTGTAGGTGGGCCCCGATAGAATACACAAAACTACATTTCTCCCCGGGGACCCGGGTAACGTGTTCGTCCCGGGACCGAACATTGCGCACCGATAATAATTAGGGCTCGTAATATGGCCCGCGGCGAGGATTTCGTAAAATCCCCGAGCGCCAAATCAACCGGATTCGTCGAATCGACAGATGGTTCCGACAGACGCGTAGGAATTCCGTGGGTGGATCCTCGCCCCGGGGACGCTTCCCGGGGTACAGGATTAGGTCCAGAGATCACGGAATTGCCCGCCGCGACGGTTACCTCTCTCCCCTCTTTTTCTTCACGCCGGCTTCGGCCAAGTTCACCCTAAGAGAGAGGCGCGTATAATAAAATATATAAATTTTTTTACACAATTTTCACTTAGCTTTTATCGCATTGTTACTTATCCAACTTTACCTACCAAGATTTGTGCTTTTCACATCATATCATTCTGCATATGTTTGTATGAATAAGTGGCGTTCGTAGAATATAGATCCTTCAAATTTTTATATCCACACACACCCGTCTCTTTCTTATAACGCGATTATTATTTAATATTTCCCTTTAGGGCAAACGAATTTGCTTCAATTCCACGAAAATGGTGCGAGCATACATCGGGAATTTTTGACCTGTTCGATGCAGTCGTCGAACGTGATATATTATAGCGGTAGTTTTTCCATAGTCAACAAAATATCTATCTATAAGCGTCGAAATTACCGGTTCCCCGTTAAATGATTCTCATTAAAAATCTCTTTTTCAGACTAGAAGGGTTTACACTCGCGATCGGCGTATCTCTACTTCACGGAATCGAACTCATAGACCGCCGAATTCGGCGCCATAGATAATACATGCGGGTGGAAGATTACATGATTACAGTCATTATGGGAAATTTATAAAAAAAGCGATCGAGCTTTCACGGCGCGTATATACACCGTGGTACGAACTCACACGCCGACGTAATTTCTCTTTTACGGGGGTCACTAATCGACCCGATTACCTGAATTTCTGAAAAAACAGGCTCCAAAGAATTGAGATCAGCGGGTCTCTTAATAAAATTCTGAATAGGTTGTTTGGGCGTAAATTTCGTCGTCATCAATACCACGGCCACTTTAATAACGTAAATTTTATTGTTTAAATTAGACGTGTGACATATTATATCGTATCTACAAGAAAAGTACAAAGTTATAAGTTATGTCATATGTATATATAGTGCGTTATGTGGTAATACTCGAGTACGATAATGAGATTTTTATTTTAGACATTTACGAACTCGTTCGAAAATATTGTGAGATAGGGAGGTATATTACTGTTGTGGGATGAGGAACGTGAGGAGGCGGAGGGGAAGGGGCGGGGAGGAAGAATAACAGCTCACAAAAAGTACAAAAGTAAATGTAAATCGCCAAAAGCAGCCACGACAGAAGGCACGATAAATTGCTACATGGAAGCAGATGAACTTGCATTGAGTTGCTATTAACAAATAATCGCTTCCGTCCCATTCCGTTTGCTCGCCACTGCCATTCTGATCTTTGTCAATCATTACAAAATGCGCAAAGCAGAAAAAGTTGTTGGATAACGAGGTACGAAATACACAGTCATTAAAAATCATATTTTCATGCAAACATATTTTACAACTCGGATTTTATCTCAATTATCTATATTCTTAAACTTTTAAATTTCCACCAAAATCATTTTCAAAAATCGCACAGAGCGATATAAAATAATTATTAAGAAACAAATGGAGTGTTCGAAACAATTGATTTTATCAAAATATTTTTTCCTTACCAGGAAATAATTAACATTAGTAAATATTTGTCCATGTCATCTTGTGAATGATTGAACGTGAAGGATCACGAATCTACGTAGCGAGCGGTTAACTTTTAACCTTCCTATTATTCACCCGTTTTCCCTTTATTCTGCTAATCTCTTATATTTCTTTACTATTTCTTTCCCATTCTTCTTCAATATATTCGCGATCTTAAAATACGATTTGTCCGTACGCCGAAAATATATGCTAATAGGACAAAGTAAAACTCGCTCTTAACATTGACGTCGAAATAGAATAAAATAATGATATGATTGCACCGTCACTCGACAGATTAATGATTAATTTAAAGAGTCGCCGAGTTCAGTTGCTGATGAACGTGTATTTACAAAATCTTCGTCCCATGTTCAACCATCGAATCGAGTACAATCGACGAGAAAATTGCTTTCGACAGCACAAAGTGATGCGTACTTTTCTCTCTCTCTCTCTCTTTCCATATCGCTGCTACTGTGAGCTTTGGCGATTGCAACAAGCAACTTAAATCTAATTGTTAGTTCTCACGACTCTTACTAAAGAATACTTCTTTGCGCGAATTGCGTAAACTTAGTCACATGTCGCGACGAATCGCTTAATTGCTTGACGCTCGGATAAACTCTCGCGATCTATATTATTTTAGTCCGTAAAAAATAGCGATTATGTATGAGCGTACGTATATAATTTGTTTCGCAAATACAGATATATATATATACTATGTACTAGAACGCGTGTGTATATTTGGCTTGTGAGTTGATAACATGGAGATGGAAGTATGAGCATCTATGTAAATTAAACGCGCGCGCAAATTGCAACAATTGTGGCAACGAGTTTTGCAATAAATGAAGAATAAAGTAAGTAAGACAAATATTTAGACGTTGTGAAACGTTGCACCGACACGGTAATGAGCGAAAGTAAGAGAGCGTTTGGAACTAGAAATTAAAACGTCCTTTGTACAGGAGCGTGAAGACCGTATTACTAACATTTTCTTAACGTAGCTCAACGTATCTACAATACAGCATCTCTGATTAACGAAATTAGATTAAGAAAAAAGACCGGGGAAGGAAATATATCGCGGTTCTAATATAAGTACGCGTGCATTGTTTTCTGCAAAAAAAATATCTGAAATCTGAAAACCTGTCCTCATGTTGTGCAAAAAGAAGATATTGAAAATGATGTACCTGTATGATCCAATTTCGCGTAGTTGTAAAACAGCATCGGGAGCGAGGGATTATTCATCTGCAGTCTTGTAAACTCCCGATATTAAAAATTTATAGCTAAAAACAATTTCACGGATGCTCCTCGCCTTATATATCGCGTGATTTACGCGTTCTTTATTCCCTTTTAACCCGAGTCTTCAAAGCGTGTTATGTTTTAAATGCTTTACTTTCGTATCAATATATTGCGCTGAATTAATGACGCAATCGTATAAATTAAAGTTTTAACTGGTCATTTAAGATATAATTAAACTCCATGTAAATATGTTAAAACATTAATACAGCTCGAAATTTTACTTTTTGCGATTATATAATGTTTACGGGATTACTTAAGAATCAAAGTCAAAGTATGAACCTTTAGGAGTCAATGTAAAAAAAACAAATTTAAATAACACTGTCAATGTTGAATTATTATGGTAAAATGTTCTTAAAAGAACAGGTAAATAAATAACGGTGCGTTATCATGTCGGGCCTTTAAACAGGCGGTAAGGCCCACAGCGTAGCAGTTTTGTCAGCGGAAGTACTGAGAAACGAGAACTCCGTCGGATGCCAACGTCCGGAGATGACTTTGTCCTGATGTTGAGCGACTACGACGCTAGGTAGAGGCATTGTAAGATCACCTGCAACATATATTTCACCATGCTTATGTTATTCTAATATTATTATGGAGGGACACTTGTGTCAAAGCACATTACCTTGTAAATCTGTGAGTACCAATTTGTTGTCGTATCCCGCCGTCAATAAGTAATACGCCGACGGTGAGAATCGTATGCTCCTGATATCTGCCGCGTGAGGTTTGAAACACTGCACCGTTCTGCCGCCGCGAATGTCAAAGAGAACGCAGCTGCTGTCCTCGTGGCCGGACACCAACAATCGGCCAGACGGATCTACGCACAGCGCAGCTACGGGACTGCCGACCTGCAATGGAAACCAATGCTGATCAGACAAACAATACTGATTCTACTCTTGACAACCAGAAAGAGACGTCCGATAAAAATCCAATTTAGAAGAAAGTAACATATAATGATCGAAAAAGGATTGTGCATAATTTAATAATGTAAATCGAATATTTATCGGACGTAGAAGCCAATGCGATTCCAGAACAAAGCAGAAAGATACAAACCGGATTCTAAACAAAGAAATTTATTTTCTAATTTTTTCTGTAATAACTGCATGCAAATTTCTTCAATGAGAATTTGCCAGTTGTGTCGATTATTAATTTCCTACATTGGTTAATTATACACTGGCAACAATGAGTCTCTATTCTTGTTTTCTACAATGTTCATCCTATAATCTTCACTTTTGACGACCGCTACAAATATATCGACGGAGACTGACTCACCCGGCTGCCAGGTACCGTCGCAGGTGTGACCATGTTGACGCAGCTTCTCGTCCTCAGATCCCAGAACCTGACTGTTTTATCCTGCGATCCGCTGACGAACATCGCTCCGCCCCAGTTGTAAAGCGTCAGCACGTGGCCGCTGTGGCCGCTCAAGGCCTGGAAAGGCGTACTGGTCGTGCAATCGGTAACGTAAATCTTGCAGTCGCCAGCACCACCGCTGATCAGAAGGCTCGACTTGTTTGTCGTGTCCTCGAGGAAGCACAAGTCGCGCACCGTACCATCGTGCATGGTCAACTCGACCTCTTGTCCTGAAAAGATTAGATCAAAAATATTACAAAGTAGATACAGAAAAATGTATAGTAAAATTAATTTTCAAGAATCAAAATTATATTACGATAATGAACAAATGATCTCGGTAAATTTCTAAAATATGAATTACTCTTCGACGTCCGAGATACGGATTCTGCGAAAATTTAAAGATGCAAGACCTATCGTCTATGTCCAATCTATCAAGTGTACCTTCAAGATTCGACGTATCAGCGTTAAAGCGCATTAACTTCACGGTCTTATCGTTGCTTCCGGTCGCGATCAACCGTCCGTTCGGTGTCCACGCGAGGCAGTATATGGAGCCCTTGTGATGCTTCGTTCTCTTGAAGAGAACGGTGGGCTGGTACGTCTGATGGTCCTCTCTGAAAGACAACAGCAGTTCTATTGCTTCGACACTAATGATAAACGGTAAATAATTTCGACAACTCAGAGCGGCATAAATCATCCGTTTAAAGAAGATTCCTTCTCGCTCTATTTCACGAGCCACCTGCTCCAAGAAGAAAAAATGCTCGAGTTCTCCCGGACGTCACTTTCATCGAGCCGTTTTCCTTCCTCGTTCCCAGCCTTCGTGAACCGCGTCTCTAATTGAAGCCGATATCGTTGCATATTGTGCACGCGGGATTCGGCCGTGGAAACGAGGGAGAGGCGATGGTCTTAAAGAGCATGCCGTCGCTTTCACGGCGCTGGGTTTTTATGCAAATTTTAATTAAGCGCAACTCTTTTCCCACCACGCGCAGCCCGACGCGTGTGAGATCGCGATCGCTTGCTCATTTCTGCCGATGAACGTGCTCGCTCGTAAAATCTTCCCTGTTGTTAATTATTCGTCCCCTTGAATTTATTCGGCTTGAGCATGACGCGCGAGATTAACGTCACTTCTGCCGCAATTTCCAGCGAGCGCCGAAGGGGAACGACTTTCGAAAGTGACGATACGATTATTCGCAAAGGCGGTTTCTCCGGATAATAACGACATAATTGGAGAAGAGTTTCGTACCACAAGTGATAAAAATGACGGAACAAGTGAATTACTGCGCATAATTATTTGAAAATAAAAATGATCGACGAGTGTAGTAACGTTAGAATATCTCTCTCGAAATGTATATGACAAGTTTTGCAGAGAACACTTTATGTTGAACGCTTAAAAAATCCTCAAACTCTAGATTTTTAATCACACCAAATTTTTTATCTTCAATTTAAATGGTACACTATAAAAGCTCGGCAGGAAAGAAGTGCGTACTCTTATTTAGAGCAAGTATCTATAATTGTTTGAAAATCGACGAAGGCAAAATATATCAACAAAAGTAGAAATTCATATTTCAAGATATGTGGAAACGACTCGTTTATCAGTCAAGCAAGTATATGTCCATCATATTTGCACAAAGCTAATTTACATTAACTATACTAATTCTTTTCACCTCATTTTTTAACACTTCTTTTCGTATTAACCTAACTAAAATTAACCGCAAATTCTCACCAGCCATTTACGTGACGCTGTTTTATTCTTATATTGTTAGTTGGGCAAATAGTTTCTTTATAATCTCGACAACAGTATTTGCCGACAACGTTTCTTCGATCAAAGAGCACCAGTAATGAAACCGCAGACTTACTGACTCTGCAACACGATGACATAAATGTCAACGATATTAAGTTCATGATATCTCAATTTCAAGCCGAGCAACAGAATTACGTCGTTCTAATTGAACGATCACGGAGTCTCTTGATAGCTGTGTTCTCACAGCTCCCGGGTTCATAAGTCAATCAGAAATTTCCGACACTATCACTTTTAAAGTAGGAGTAAATCTTGTACTTGCAGTTCGATCTCTTTTACTGTCTTAGATCCTATATAATAGAATTAAAGGTTCAACATAGGACCAAAATTTCGTCTCGGACTGTCGCAACACACCGAGTGTCACGGGGATCAATCTCCTGGCGCCTCGTAATTTTAACGCAGGCAATTACGGGCGCGTGCGTATCGTTAACGTTATAATTGCGGCAGCATCTCTGATAGCGCGGTCGCGTTCTCCGGGACCATTAAGCGGATTTTACGAGCCGTTTATTCGTGCGCCTTATTGTTGCGACGTAGGATAGGACTTATACGGCGGTGCCGAAGAGGCGTTCCGCGTTCGCTGGCGGTCCAAGCGGCAATTTCGAAAGTTACGCAAGGCACACGCTTATGTCGCACTTTACGCCTCGCCGCGAATGCGGATAGGTGTAAATTTTCTGACGTTACCGCCGGCAATATATCTCGCGCGCGCAAACTTTCTCGCAACGCCGCGGCGAAAATCGTTCCGCGCGCGAAACAACAGAGCCGGAATAAGAGCTGCCGCTCGCAAACGGACAAATGGAAATTGCTGCGCGTTATTGACTTTGGACACAAATTACAGCTCGTTGAACTCACCGGAACACCGTAATGCCGCGTTAAATGAGTATTGCCGCGAATTGTTAATAGTAGACGGAAATGTTCCACGAGTGAAAGGGGACCGTTTGTTGTCTACCTTGTAATGCAGATTAAATGTCTTGAGCGGCAACGTAATGCCACGTCGAAAAAACGGAACACTACAATTCCACGCAATTCCTACATTTCCTACGCGTCGCGCGAACATGAGTCTTGCCATTTTGTTATTCTTAATTACGACTTCGTTATTTATTCATCCGCGACTACTTTACGTTCTCCAGTTCCTTTTTAGCGCGTGCTGACGTTACTTATCACAGTACAATCCATTTCCATGCCCCGCGTCCACTAAAATTTACAAACCATCGTCGAAACTGAATTCGCGTGGTTCCTCGAATTTTTTCCTGAACGTATTTGCAGGCTGAAAATCGATTACATTGGAGAGATCGTCGTGTTAAAGTCACGGGGAATCGTCCTGAATTCGCGTGACTGGTGCAAAACGCGGTGGCAGGAAGAACATTGCGAATCGCGTTCAGGCCGATGTAAACGGAAACGACGTGTTACAGCGCGGTGGTAGTAGCCGGTAATGGAAAAAACTGTACCGGCAATCCACATTCGCTGAACACGCAGGAATGCTCCGTTTGGCATGAAGGCCTTTGCCGCTCGTTAGGCCAGCACGCCCGCGTAAAATTAGTTTAGCGGACGCGAATTTATACTTGACCCGCCTCAAATTTACATACAAGCCACTTCGTTACGTCCCAGCGGCAACGAAAAGACTCGTCGGTTACAATAGAAGCAGCTTATAATCGTAAACGATTACTCTTGGCTTTCTACAACGTCAATTTCATATAATACACATCTCTCGTATTCTGAAATAAAGCTTAGATATTTTTGTTGTTTTATATTTTAAATGCTAGCTGGCAATTAGCAAGAATCCTGTTTCTCGCTGATCATTAATTGCTTTTAAAACGCGAGAGAGTAATTATATCTTCGGGGCTATGAACCTGCGGATTGAAAAACGGCAAAATACTCATTACCAGCCTGTTTTCCATCGAATGCATATTCAAGCCTGAAAGTTCAGCATCGGCAACGATAAGCGGTCTCGAGTTTTCGGCCCGATATCGCATAAACAATTATTACGCGTATATTGCGTATGCACGCGTTACAAAGTAACCTCGCCAAATTACTCTCCGTACTCCGGGCTCCCTTCCTCGCGATAAGGGATATCTATTGCAACCGTGGAGAGAACGCGTTTGATTAATCTCCGTTCTAATTGCACCGCGGAGCGAAGTTGCGTTGATATTATCGCATCAAGATGATAGATAAGCCGCGGAGCTTATTGAATAGCGTGACGCGTTCCGCTGTAAGAGCCGTGATTTCTCTCGCGCTTCGCGCTTCGGCATTTTTCGCGGTGCGCTATCTCGGGGATCCGAAACGTGTCCACCGCGGGTAAAAACGGCGCGGCCAGGCACGGCTGAGCAGGATTTATCGTCGCCACGACGAGCGGGCGAATTTCAGCTCGCGCGACGCGCTTATCGCGGGCGCCAAGTCATTTCGTCGCCGACGATCCTCCCCGCGTCGTCCCTCGGTCGATCGGATCGGCTTTTAGCCGACTCGTAATTCACAGTTTATATTTTTGCCGACGCCGCTAAAATGTATCACAGCTCCCCCCCTCTCTCTCATCATTTTTCGCAGAAGCATAAATGCAAATGTATCTGATCTCTCTCTCTCTCTCTCTCTCTCTCCCCCCTCTCTCTTCATTTTTCGCGGAAGCGTGAATGCAAGTGCATCTGATTTCTCTCGGCTTGGCAGGTACCGTAATGTGTCCGCCTGATTTTTTTTCGATAATCGCACGACGCGAACCCGTTCGTTATTTATGCATAAGGCCGCCGTAACGACACCGGTGATACCGCAATTCGTCGAGGGGCAATACATATCGGAGATGTGTCATCAACCGCCGACGTACCATCTCGAAATGGCTTGCACGACATCGGAAAGCTCCGTCGCGAGACACCGCTCTTCCTCGGGGACAGGCAAAGTAGGCGGCGGTGTTACGATCGCGTTATTTCCGCGCTTGGATTGAGACGCAGTCGCAATTTAGCGATTTCTCGAACGCTCGGTGCGAAACGGCTTCCACCCGCTATCGGCATCGGACTTCCGCCGCCGATATGAGCTGCACTTCGTAGAAAGTTCGATATCCATAAATCAATAACTGATTATCGGCGCATATTTAAGTGGCAAATGTGAAACTGCATTATTTACATACAAAAGCATTTAATCACAGAATGCTCGTGAGAATATAAATCTTCGGGCAACGGCTCGGTCTTTTTCCGAAAAGCGATTTTGAGTCAATGCAAATAATTTAATGAATTAGTTATCCAAACGTCGATACTATCTTACAGAATCTTCAAAAAATATTTCCAGAATATTTATAAGTAAAGTATTATGAGATAGGCTTCTAATATGAGAGAGCAGGTTTTTCAGTACCCAAATTCAATCACAAGTCTTTTTTCGCAATGATTACACGAATTTTCTAATTTTTACTATGAATGTTCCACTAAACAGATTTAATTCCAAGGGTAATAAATTCGTGGTGGGACCGACAGATGATGTCTGGCTATTAATTTAGCAGAAACCCCCGTTATCTCATATTAGAAGCTTATTTCACAATAGGGGACCGAGGGGGAAACCGCTGAGGGCACTGTGGTGTACAGATTTGCGGTATTACTCTCGTAGGGGACTTTCCTCTATATCTCATTGTCAGCTTGAATTAAAGTGAAAATGTCACAAACTTATCGAAGAACCCTCGGAGATGCTACTTGTGAAAATTCTTCGACGTCGCGCCAAGTTGCTCGATAATGAATTGGCGCTTAACGAGCGCGATTCTCACCTGACATCGTGCAGCTTCGGGTAGGCGCATATCCGCAGCGTCTTCGAGTTCGATCCCACGGCGTACAGTTTGCCGTGGGGGTGAAATTCGGCGCAGCGTATCGCCTGGACGTCCTCCAGAGCGGTGACGGGAACGAAGCGCGGCCTGCCGCCACCGTTGCTGCTGCCATTGCTGGCGTCGAGTTCCGGTCTCGGCTCCTGCTGCGAAACGAGATGCGCGATCGTTACTCAATTTGGTATTAATAAGCAATTATCATGGTGCGAGCGAGCGCGCACGGAACTAATAATATGCCCGTCGTAGCGCGGACGATTAAGGGCCAACGCCGTTGCGGCCGTTGCAAACGGAATGCACGCGGAAAAGCTGCAACTATATATCGTGATACATCGTGCCGCTTTAACGAGATCTAATGAATGCCTACCGGCACAAAGCAACCGTTTTTATTTGCGGATGGGACAAGTACCGTCGCAAATTGCGGATGCACTTTTGCGTCCGGTTGCCGCGAAATGAATATGGAAACGTTGCGGTGAGATGAACGTAATATCCAAACAATATCATTGCACTTGATACTCGCACTCTCCCATTGCTTCCTATCTACTTATAAATTACAAGTGTTAAAAATTACATAGACGCGGCGAAAGAATACAACACGTTTGTACTTGTACATAATTGCATGTGGAAAGTAGTAACTTAAAGATTGATAATTTAAATATAGGTGTCAGGTGCAAATAGAAATAAAATAGAAAATTAAAAATTAATCAAAAAAGGTGGACAAGTGTCAAAGAATAATTTGTAAAAATTGTTCAAATAATGACTGGATGGCTTTGTTCGAAAGGAAAATTTGACACGAGAAGTAAATTATATTCATCTTGATAGCTCTGTGATAATTAGCGCTTTCATTTAATTCTTTCGCCGCTAGTAAATTTCTTTTTTGAATCAATTAATACGCATGGACATGTGCATGTTTACGTATACATAAAGAAATTTCACTTTCTCGTTTCGCGCAAGACGCAAATGATGCGCTCTTCTTGTGAGACAGTTATTACTACAAACCCGCTAAACCAGCTCGCGCATTGCAGGCAGCGAGCCGAACGGAAGGTGAAAAATTCAGAAATGCTAGAAAGTTGGGCCCTGGATGAATTTCTACCTCCACCATCTTTAGCTACAAGCAGTTTATTTACTTCGATATCCACGCAATAAACTTGGAGCTAAATCAGAAGAGTGGTTTTCTTCTTGTCAATGTTATTAAACAAAATGCATGAGTCGGCACTATCGATAAAGGTTTTCTACCTAAAAACGAGAAAATAGGCGAAGTACGCGGTGAAACTCTAATAGATATCGAGTAGCCATTTTCCGCATAGATAGTCGTAATAATAACCGTAATTTTATTTCTTCAACGTCGACAGTTAGGCAACTGTTATGGAATTGTTGTTCGCAGAAAAAGCTCGCAATGCTCCTTGGCGCGAAGCACTTCTTTTTCCGAAGCCACGGGCCCGGAATCGTTTCGCGATTCGTATTTGCGCAACGACGCGCTTCGCCACGCTTTTACTTTCGAGCCACGAGATTGGCTGCGACCGTTTATCTAGATGGATAAATTAGCAAAGCAAATGCACGGCTCTGCCCGCTGTTGTTCTCTTCTTGGCAAACCGTGCAGCACGAGCGGAATTATTAGCGCTCGCGTGCGTTTTCACGCGACGGCGTACGCTTAGCGGCGCCGAGGCTGCTTCTTGCCAATTGAAATGACCTACGCATGCGTAATTATATCTCGAATGCGTGCGTGACAGGTGCATCAGATCCTCGTGGAGAGATAGGAGATATTATAAAGTGAGCCGTGAACCGATAAGAATGTTTTCAAATTTAATCTCTATTAATACAATTTTTTTTATGTAGCCGTGATTCGATGTAAAGATAATTTCACTCGCGAAGAATATTTACATCGTTGTAAAAGTAACGTATGAAGAACAATGAGAAGGAGATTGCGTTAGAACGATACTCGATATGATATTTCGATACGCCACCTGTTTCACAATTCTATTCTTGCGCGGATATCGCGTCGATAATCATTGTATGATTCATTTCTTTCGATAAACTTTCTTTACTTGTTAGACTCTATGAGTCATTCGGAACAATAAGTGAACGGAATTGGAGGATGAATCAGACTAGGGATTTTTAATTACAGTTTCGCTTGCCGATTCGTTACCTTTCACTTCGCGTTGTTTTAATTTGCCACGAAACAGCCATTCTCACGGCCAAACGTTACGTTCTCCGTAAAAGATTTTGATTCGATTCACTCTTCAGGGTCCTATTCGCCCAAGTACCGTGCCGTAAAAGGGGAAACGACAGTCGTGCGCTCTTTCGCGAGCAGAGACGTCTCGCGATTTACGAACGAGGCCGTGGTGGAGAATCGATCCGAGAGAGATTCCCATTCTCCGCGAAAATTCTGGCATTCTCCGTGCAGCGATCTCCCGGGCGACTTAACGAGCCGGAAACGTTTCTCGATCGTAATTCCGTTGGGAAAAGCAGATGAAACATCGGGAGAGGTACAGCCTGAGAAGCCTAGTTTTGCCGATCGGTCAATCAACCCGTCGACCATCGTTATAGACGTTCGGTCTTAATAGCTCCGTACAGCCTTGCGAAAGCGACGATGTAGACAGAAACTTTATAGCATACGGATGGATACTTCGAGATCGCGAACGAAAGCAGGACGAAGATGATGCAAACGTAGTTTCGAACATCGTACTGTTTCGCATTCGGTCTTTCGACTGTCCGTGTATCGATAGAATCGATGAATGAGAGTCTTGCCCAACGTGGCAACAGAGACGCCGCTCTTCAATACGATTAAGATAAGATGAATGTAATATCAATAATCTAGAGCAATATAAAGAATCCTTTCCTACGAAATAAAATATAATCTACATGTTTCGCACGGACTCTAATTATCCAGAAAACTTATCTATCGCGAACATCGACGCGTCCGGGTTTAAAGATGATTAATAGTAGTCGGTAGTCCGCGGCCTTAATTCCTCTATAAACGGTCATCTCCTCCGTACTCTTATAAGGAGGAAAGGGTGGATCGCGAGGGATCCGCCGGATACCCTGAAGGCCTTCGGACACGCGTCTTCGATCGAAGATTGGAGGGACGGATCCAACGACGCGTGGCGCGATGAAAAACAACTAATAAGGGGGCCTTGACCTGATTGTCGACTCTGGCTTTTTACTTTCCTCCGTCGCCGCGCATCGTTAAAAAAAAAAGAAGAAGAAACGGTGCGACGCGCGCGAGAATTTACGCATATCGCGCGTATAATGATTAATTATAAAAGTCGCTCGTCCTAGATGCGGGCCCGCGATCGGCGAGTCCCCGTGAAGCATCACGACAGCTCGACATTAAGGATATTAATGGTATTGAGCGATTTTTGTTCCGCGGATCGTTGATGGTCACGATCGAACTTTTCACTCTTCTCTGAAAAACCGGTTTAACCGGATTTATCCGTGATCGTTTTCAATCTCGGACGCCTGGCACGTCCATAGAAAAAGAAACACGATTCGATGATTAAATAGGTGCGATTACAAGTAGATGAATTAAATAGATACGAAGAACGAACTAATGTACGCAGCGCGTTCGATGTATTTCGGATAACAAGAGCCGGCGAAACCCATTGTTTTCTGTATCTGGGTTACGGCATACTTTTTCGTCGTCGATCGGTATATAGTCGGACGGAAATCGAAGGTGCACACGTGCGCGTGCAGGCTTTAAGGGCGCTCGAGATTCCAACGCGTAATTTTAGCATGAAATCTTTACTGTGAAATTGCGAATGCTCTGCAACCGGGAAGAGAACACACTTCGTACCACGCGCAACATCGTGTTCTTTACTTTAAAAGCATATTACGTATAATTAATGTGTTCAACTCCTCATTTAGCGCGTTACATTCAATTAATATGATTAATTATTGTTACACTCGCCTTAACGTCAGATTTTCTTATCAAGATACGAAATGCGAAGGTATATTAAGAAATAATTTCTCTTATATTAATGAGAATAACAACCGAGAAATTTATTCAGATATGCTAAGCGAATGCGGAAGTGAATTAAGCGGATATAGCGCTAAACAATGCTCGGCGGTGTCATCGGACGCTGAAGGCTGTTCGACGATTGGTGAAGTATAGTATATATCCTCCAAGAATCGACGCAGACTAAAATGAAGAAACGGTCGCGCAATATCGACCGAATTTCGAGAGTGGTACGCGAATAGAACGTAAAACGATTCCAGAATTCTGGCGACATTTCGTAAGAGGTCACTTGCAGCAGCAAGTTTTCGCACTTTTTTTCACCTGCGAACGAGACATAGTTGCAATAACGATCGCAAACGAGCCTAATATACTTTGCGCAATATTTCCCGACTAGAGACATTTAAATCGCTCGGCTACCTCTCGGGATAGTTCAAACGATGATATTCGCTCAGGGAAGCCGAGTCAAGTTAATACGCGCGTAAATCCTTAGCTATCGCAGTCCCGGTTATCAATTAATGCGACTGTTATTATCCAGCTATTATAAAAGCATCATTTTTCTTGTGCGCGAGACCATCGGGCACGGTCTACGAATGTGCCGTCTTGAATTACGAGCGACGCATTAATTTTCTTACGTAGCGGTAATTTCGACTCGAGGAAGTCTCCGTAACTTTCTACCGCGTATGTACGAAACGCACGCGACGGAGATCGTAATTAAGCGGTCGATTACAACGTGGCGCAAAACGCTCTTAGTTAATAATAGACTCGCCGCCGGAGCGGGAGAGGAACTCGAAAATTATATCGCCGGTGCTTTCGACATACGTGCAATTCGTGCCCATTCACCGAGAACAAAATCACCCCGTCAATATAAATTCTTCCTCTTGTCGCGAACTAATGCGTCCCGTCACACCGATTAATTGCGCAACGCGAAGAATACCTCGCTTTCACTGGACAGTCCTGGATTGCCGTGCGCGCCGGTCATTTGCCGCAATAAATCTAGTAATCAATCCAATTTCTCAAACGGTTGTTTTTCGCAACGGAGTGTGCCCGCCGAAACGAGCAGGAAGTCGGGGCACGATGAAGCTTTGACGAGCAGCAAAAACCAATCGACATAGCCGATTGAGCGGAACGATCTGTTTTTCCATGTATGTCCGTAATTGAGATTTACCGATAACGTCACAATATGCAACTCGTACA